GCAAATAGAAAATTTGGATAATTGAGTAAACCATGGCTCAGTTAACTATGAGTGAATGTGTCAAATGAAAGTATAGGGAAGGAGCAGGGGTGAAATGCTACCGGTTTGGACCAGTTCGCCCGAACCAGTAGTAATAAATGCTACCGGTTCAGGCAAATTGGTAGTAAAAAAAATGCTATTGGTTCAAGCAAATGGGTATTTCCTACGATCAGCTGTGCCGCGCGATTTATATTCGCTAGAAAGCAGGAAATCCTGCTTTCTAGCGAATCTAAATCGCGCGGCACACCTGTTCCTCCCCCCTCGCTGTTTTACCTACCTTTGAAGACTCAGAAAAGGCTTCTAGATCCTCCTTTATCAGTGCTGTGCGGTAGTGCCTGTGGTGCGCCTGCGCGCAAAGCGCGAGTTTGGTGTGCAATGCTCATGCATGCGTGAAGTGAACCGGTAACGAAGTGAACAGGTAGCAGACTTCAGAGCATTTCCCCCCTGGGAAGGAGGTAGCAGTTCGGCTGTAATTAACCACAAACTTCCAAAGCAAAAAAAACAAAGTTCAAATAAGTGTGCTTGCGCTTTCAAGAAAGCTTGTGGATGACATTTCAGGATATTTTGCTGTTAGGAATTTAAAAAATGAGGATGACCCAATAACTTACATGGAGTTACTTAAGAAAAAGCAGAGTTTTGGAACTATATAGCGGCCCACAGGCCGGATGCGTCATGCACAGGCCACGCCCACCCCAGCTCCGCAAAGGAAAAAAGAGTTATGAAATGTCATGTGATGGTAACATGACGTCACGAGTTTGACACCCGTGATATAGACTGAAAAGATGAAAATATGCAGAGTTTAAATAAAGAAGAACCTGAAAGGATTGTTACATTCAAACAGCTCCACAGTCGATGAACAAAGTGAAGCTGTATCTATTGTGCTTCCACCTGAAGAAGTAAAGGGGCTGCAGGGGATTAGGTCTTAAATGCTTGCACTTGTCAGCAGTGTGAAGTTGGTGATGAATAGAGTGTTACAAATAGATCAGAGTTTGAAGAGTTTTTTTGTAAATTGAGTGGAATGGCGATAGGTATTATAATGAGGATATGTCCCTGGAAATCCTGGAAGAAGAGTTTTGGGGATTATTGTCCCTGCAAATGTCCTGGTCCACAATGTTGTCTGCTTAACAGCCTTTGTTTTGTGAATGTCAATTTATACATATGTTTGTGCATATAAAGCCTGCAATTCTGGAAAAAAAACAGTCCTATTTTATCTGCATTTGTTCTCCTTCTGAAGATGTGCCTAGCAGTGCTTTCACATGTGTTGAAACTGAACCAGTGCCTTCCATTTTGTATTTGAAATATTTTCTTAACCAGGTTTAATCAAGGCCTAATGCATATACTTGCACAGTATTAGTATTGGTTGTGTTTTGGTGTATGTGGGGTAAAGTATTTTTGTGCAAATCCAGCCATTTAATTGATGTATGAACCCAAGAAAGAGTTAATTCAATAATTAATTTAGACACAGGAAAATAGCTTCTGCTGAAGGTTTCAGATGACTGGAAAGGTCTCAGAAATTCATTATTCAAAGCTGAAGCATTGCTCATTATGCAGCAGTTAGATTGGGTTCATACAATGGGCAGAGTCAAAGTTTGCTTAAGTATAGCTTACAAGTGAAGGCAATTATAATTATATGATTAATATAAGGTAATTATAATTATTAGAGTTTACTAATGAAGGTAAACTAATAACGGTAATGAAGGCAATGACAGTCAGTTTGGTGTAGTGGTTAAGGCATCAGGCCAGAAACTGGGAGACTGTGAATTCTAGTCCTGCCTTGGGCCCAAAGACGCTGAGCCAGCCCTAGGAAGAAGGCAGTGACAATCCATTTCTACCAAGAAAATGGATGGAAACTAATCAATGAGAGAAACAACCTGGAACTAAGGAGAAACTTCCTAACAGCAAGGTCAATTAACCAGTGGAACAGCTTGCCTCCAGAAGTTGTGGGTGCTTCATCACTGGAGGTTTTTAAGAGTTTGGAATGGTATGGGTCTCCTGCTTGAGCAGGAGGTTGGACTAGAAGACTTCCAAGATCCCTTCCAGCTCTATTCTGATGGATGGATGGATGGATGGATGGATGGATGGATGGATGGATGGATTGATTGATTGAAAATGGCAGGGAATTGTCCATGCAGTGTCCAAGAACTGGACACAATTAAACAGAAGAAAAAAATGAACGCCTAGTTGTCACAGTTTGCACAAATACTAAACCAGGGAAGGTGCTTTTTCACAGTAACACGCAATTCTTAGCCAAATGAAATAAAGCACACTACAGTATCTATGGCGAAGGTTCCAATGAATAATCTACATTGGTTCAGGACGCTGAGGAGCCTCATTTATACCAGTGGAGATTCCCCAGCTGTTTTTCATCTAGGAACATCTTGACCCCTTCACAGATATTTAAAAGCAGGATATTTGATATTATTGTCCAAGTAGATTTGAGTTCAATTGCCAACAGCAAAGTCCTGCTTGCTGTTCCGTTATAAAAACTGAGTTTGAATGCGAGCAATATTTGAAATGCATTATTGTCCCTTGCCTCTCGTTAGCACTAACAAGATTACAGGTACAACAAACGTCTAAGTGACAGCCAGTTCTTTAAAATCTCACACTTCCAAATGCACAGTCCCTGTCTGGATGGCAGTTGAGAGAACATCCCTCATTATCTGTTTTATTGCCCATATTGTCTGCTGCATGTTCTGTACTGAATACAGAAGAAAAGTATTCTGGCCGAAACCCCATAAAATTAAGTTGTTATGGAAAACACGGAACATGGCTATCCTGTGTACCATGGCAGGTTTTGCTTAAGTCACAGTTGACCCTCATAAAACTCTTACTGAGGAAAATAATGCTTTTACTCTTGCAATCATTTATATGGTTATTAACCTGACTTTATATAATTTTACATTTAGTTCACTAAAGTGTTTGCTGTTTTATTGCATAGCTGATAACTACATTACCTATCCATAAGCTGGAACAATATATTAACTTAAATTTAAAAGGTACCAAAAGACAGAAAAGTCTGTGATCTCTCATGAAGGCTTTTACTGGATGAACAGAATTTGCAGCTGTCCAGATGTGTTTTAGTGTTGATCACATTGGCAGGGCCTGCCGGAAATCGCTAACATCTGGAACACCATGGGTGCTTCTTCTTCTTCTAGATCATGGGTGTCAAAATTTGCCATGTCACATTGCTGTCACATGATGTATTTGATCTGTCCCCATCCACACACACACACAAACACAGCCAGCCGAGGGTTAAGGAAGCACTTGGCACACACCCAGGTCTTTATCTCCAACTTGGCAGCGATATACACACTGTCTGCCAAGTGCTTTTATTTCCACAGAAACAGAAAGATAATATACTCAGCGTACAAGAGTCCAACAGAAATAATATTCCTCTCAGCAGTTTCGGACGATGCTTTAGTGACTATCCAAGGTTTATTTTTGTTCGTCACAGGGATCACTGGCCACCACCCTCTATTATATAATCTCTGGGGTGTGGTCCAGTGACTCAGTTCTAATCCCTAGCACGCCTCCTGAGCTGCTGCAATCGTTTATCACGCCTTTGGAGGCGTGCATCCAGGAATGACGTCTCTCCTTCACTCTCATCCGAGACACCTGTCTCCCGGCTAATCTCCTCTCCCTCGGCCGGCTCCTGAGACAGTGCCAGAGGGGAGGGGCCTGGAGAGGGAGGTCTGGCTGACTCCTCTTCCTCATGCTCAGAGCTTTCTTCCTCTGATGGGATAGGCTCAGAGGGCGGGGCCACAACAGTATTGTGATGTTTTTTCCCTTCACGAAGCTGGGATGGGCGTGGCCTACACGTGACACATCCAGCCTGTGGGCTGCCAGTTTGACGTCCCTGTTCTAGATCAAATTTTAAACTGCCAAAATGAAGCCAACTTCTTGGCTTTGTCATTGGCCAAAAATAAGCCATTATTGGTACATTTTAGTAGCCAACATACCAGCAGATGAGCCGGGCTCTGTGTCTTTCCACATTCAAATAGCATATGAACCTCCGCTTGAGCATATTAATTTTACATTTAGGCACTCTAACTCTCAATTTATTCAGGGTCCTCCAGGGTGCTATTCAGCAGGTTCTGACAGGTTTTGGAGAACCGGTAGCGGAAATTTTGAGTAGTTTGGAGAACCGGCAAATGCCACCTCTGGCCGGCCCCAGGGTGGGGTGGGAATGAAGATTTTGCAATATCCTTCCTCCAGGAGTGGGGAGGGAATGGGGATTTTGCAGTATTCTTCCCCTGCCACGCCCATCAAGCCACACCATGTCCACCAAGCCACACCCACAGAACCGGTAGTAAAAAAAATTGAATTCCACCACTGGGGTCCTCCAAGTAGTATAAGGGAGGTCAGATCCTTCAGCCATATCCTCCTTTAATGTTATTCCTTGCTCAGTGATCTCCTTCCTCCATCTTTTAATTCGATTTTGCTCTTGTGTAACCTCAAGATTGCTTGTTCTTGCCATAAAGCTGTAAAAGTACGAACATTTGTACTTCTGCTCAATGAAGTACACTAGCTTTTCCCAAACCTCTATCTGAAGCTTAACTTCTATAAGGAACAACAGAATTCCATCCTTGTTGCCTCTTCTGTCAACTCTAAAACTTGGTGGGGGGGAGAGAAATTGGTTTTAATGGATGGGGAATGTGCATGAATCTCCCAGTTCTGCTCAAATACATTTACTCTTCCATAAAAGGTTTCTCAATCAGTCCTTACAAAAACCATCACATTCTTAACAATCTTCTAAAATGGCTAAGATACTTTGGGGTGGAAAAAAATCAAACACAGAGAAAATGGGTGGAGATCTCATTGCCAGCGAGAGTATAGCTTTTGAAAGATTATTATGCACCATTCCTTTATTAGATTCCCTATCCATGCAACTAGGTTTGCAAATCTGGCAGTTTATTAGTTCCCTGATGGATCACCTTAATTTATTCTCTCTTATTTGGCAGTGCATTTGAAGAGGTAGGAACCAACATCTCCACACCAGAAAGGCTCTGATGGCCAGCAACAACACCACCAGCATAGCACAAGCAAGGAAGCTGGTGGAACAGCTCAAAATGGAGGCAAATATCGACAGAATAAAGGTAAAAACCATTTAGCACTCTAATGTAACTTTGGGGTGAGATTATTCTAAAGAGGTCTTGTACAAACTGACGCCCTTCAGATGTATTGGTACCCACTTACTATCTTCTCCAGACAGCACTCCCTTCAGAGGTGGTATTCAGCAGGTTATGACTAGTTCTGGAGAACTGGTAGCGGAAATTTTGAGTAGTTCGGAGAACCAGTAAATACCAGCTCTGACTGGCCCCACCCCCATCTATTCTCGGCCTCCCAAGTCCCAGCTGATTTTGCAGTATTCTTCCTCTGGAATGGGGAGGGAATGGAGATTTTACAGTATCCTTCCCCTGCCACGCTCACCAAGCCACGCCCACAGATCCGGTAGTAAAATATTTTGAATTCCACCACTGACTCCCTTTATTTTCTTAGCTACAAGTAGTCCTCCACTTACAAGCATTTGCTTAACGACCACTCAAAGTTATGACAAAAAGTGACTTACAACCAGTCCTCACACAACTGTTGCAAGTCTCTGCAGTCACATTATTAAATTTTGGGCCCTTGGCAATTAGTAAATGTTTACAACGGTTGCAGTGTCCCTGGTCATTTGTGATCTTTCCAGGGAGTTTCCAACCCAAGGATGGAAGTCAGATTCATCTAACAACCACACGATTCACTTTATGACTGCATCGCTTAGCAATGGAATTCTGCTCCCAATTGTGGTCATAGGTCGAGAACTATCTGTATTGAAAAAAAGCGCTCTGAAAGTTTATAAAGGATCTTTTCATGTGAGAAAAAAAATGTATTGCAGTAATAAACTTATTTGTACGAAGTGTTGAAAGCACATTGGTGAGTCAGCGGCGAGTGCTTGGGGATAAATTAAGTAATCCCAAACTCTTTTGATCTCAATTTCAAAATTGAAATTATCTTGGATGTTCCATAGATGGTCTCAGTTGAGAGAGCGGACTGGGATTTGCTTTGATTTTGCAGGGTCTTTTGATACTGCTGGCCACACATCTTGTGGAAGCAAGGCATAGAGATGTGATGGTTCCACCATTTATCTACGGGGTGAATCCCCAAAGATAGCATTTGGGGTGATAGTTCTATTTGTTGCTGTGGCATTTGTGAAATAAGGTCCTGCAGGTTTCACCTTTATGTCTTTTCATATCCGTATGAAGTTGCTGGATGAGCTCATCAGAGAATTTGAAGTGAAGCATCATCAATCTGTGGTTGGCACCCAGCTGTACCTATCCTTGTCATCTGAGTCAAATGAATGAAAGCCACTTTGGTCTAGTAGCTAAGGCACCAGGCTAGAAATAGGTGACTGTGAATTCTAATCCTGCCTTAAGCATGAAAGTCAGCTGGGTGACCTTGGACCAGTCACTCCTGTCAGCCCACAGTGTCAGGAGCAGCTGACACTTCCTGTCATAATCAGTGGAGCAACTCATCCGATTAACCCATCTGAAAAAAGTGGAGCCTCCATTTGCAGGAAGATGCTAGGAAATAAACTGTATCAAAAGTATAGGTATTAGATAAAGAATAGACAATTGAATACCTACCAGCATTTCAACTATGCTTAAAGGGCAGTTGTAAATGAAACCCAAAACATCTAGCAGATATCAGGCTATTAATCCATTCTAGACTAACCACTGGACTCAGCCTGAATAGGAACCAATACATTTTCAATGTATTGTATGTGTAATTGGATAGTTTGCATGCCTAGAAATGTGGGATACGTTCTGTTCTAGGTAGGACTGTACTGCTCCTAAAAGATCATGTGTATAACTGAGGGCTAATAATGTGCCCTTCTGTCAGAGGTCTTGGGATCCCTCCTTGGTATAGGTTAGAGCAGCAGCCCCCAACCTTTTGAGCACCCTGAACCAGTTCCATGGAGAGAGGTTTTTCCGGGGATCAGAATAGTTTCTCTTACTGCCTGCATCCTACGAATGGGACTTTACTTGTTTGCATGGCCTGGTTTGTGCCATGCCACGAACCGGTGCCAGTCCACAGACCAGGAGTTGGGAGACCCCTGGCTTAGGGGTTAATCCTTGGTCAAGCAATGTCTGTCATCTTAGTGGCTACATTTCTTTCTTGTACCATCTCTGGACAGGAATCATCTACCTATGGTGTCAGATGCTCTGGCAATTCAATGTATGGCTATTCAACTAGTATCAACTGCATACACCACACTATTAATAAATATATACAGATGGAAGCCTTTTACTTATATCAATTATAAGAAATCTACACCATGTACTTGTTGGGTTTGCGGCCCAATTCAACATGGTACTTTGACCTTTAAAGTTCTAAACAGGAGATGAAGAGGCATGATATCCCAGAGAAGTTGCTTAGATGTGGATTCTTGCTCCAGATACAGGATTAGAAATAGATTATTGATCAGGCTTTCCGAACTGATACTCTCCTGTTATATTGTAACTGCATCTTCTGGAATCCCCAGCCACTATAAAGAAAGATATCAACCATCCTCAGCCTATGTGCCTCCCAGATGGGTCAAGTTCTAGAATTCTCAGTAATCACCATGTTAATTAGGAATTGGGTGAGATGGAGTGGAGTGGAGAAGGTTCACCTGTCCACATGCATAAACATGCATGTAAAAAAAAGAGCATCCCCATATTCATGAAGGGTGTGATGTCTTAATGGTTAAAGACCTTGAGCTTGTCAGTTGGAAGCGTGACAGCCTGGATTCAATGCTCAGGTGCTGTGCAACAGAGTGAGCTTCCTTGTCTCAGCTCCTGCCAATCTATCAGTTCGAAAGCATGCAAATGCGAGTAGATAAATAGGTACCAGTTTGGTGGGATGGTAATGGCATTCTGTGCACTTCGGCTTATAGTCATGCTGGCCACATGACCATGGAAGTATCTTTGGACAACGTTGGCTCGCACATATGTGCGAGGGGAACCTTTACCGTTACCTTTACTGCTCTCTAGAGTCAAACTTAACTGGATTGAAGAAACCTTTATCTTTATAATTACTCACATGGACCAAATGTTATCGCACCTTTTCATGGACAGCAGCTACACCCTTATATATTTACATGGACCTAAAACCAGGTCTTCACACATTCACCTCATGAGGAAATGTTCGTTGGCACAACAATTTGGCACCTCTTTGCTGTGAGCAAAGGGATGTGTCTCCAGCTTTCCCACATCCTATCCTTAAACCATGGGGGATAAATGGCAGCAATTCAAAAATAGCAGGAAAATATTTTGTTGCAATATGTTGTTGCAAATTAAAGATGGGTTTGTTACTCACAGCAAGCGTGGAGACAGTCTGGGAGATGTTAAGGCTCAGGATAGGTTCTCCCCTTGGAGAGCCAGGCCAGCTATGTGGATTTCACTTCTTGTATAAAGGTAAAGGTTCCCCTCGCACATATGTGTTAGTCGTTCCCGACTCTAGGGGGCGATGCTCATCTCCGTTTCAAAGCCGAAGAGCCAGCACTGTCTGAAGATGTCTCTGTGGTCATGTGGCCGGCATGACTAAACGCCAAAGGGGCACGGAACGCTGTTACCTTCCCACCAAAGGTGGTCCCTATTTTTCTACTTGCATTTTTTACGTGCTTTCGAACTGCTAGGTTGGCAGAAGCTGGGACAAGTAACAGGAGCTCACCCCGTGACGCAGCACTAGGGATTCGAACTGCTGAACTGCCGACCTTTCGATCGACAAGCTCAGCATCTTAGCCACTGAGTCACCGTGTCCCTTCACTTCTTGTATAACATAAGTGAAAAAAGAAAGAATTATATTCTCCGTCAAAGTGTTAGTAACTTTTCCATATAGACTCTTAATCTGGAAATCTTGAAATTTATCGCCATGTGTTCTATCCCTAAGTCAAAGAGGAATCTCACTTATCACTGACTCTGTCTGGAACGTTAATCTTTTTTGATGCAACCTCCCCTAATAGCTCTGATTGGAATCTGAAAGAGCCCAACCCTGAGGTCTGATATAGTTAGCCTCAGATGCAAAAGCTCCAGATTGCACAGTCTCACTCTCTTCTCCATCAGTTACTATAGCAACTGCAAGCCTCATCAGTGAAGCTTGGCATCTTTTCCAAAGAGGGCTAGAAGCACCTCGCGTATGAAAAACCTGCCACTTGCACACAAAAGCAGCAATCCCAAGTGGTAACCGATGGCACTTGATCTGGGAAATGGTGTATGCTCTTTTTGGGGGCGTGGGGGGGGGTGAGTCTCCCAAACATAAACCTCTTAAGATTGTATGGGCATTTTAAATGTAGAGCAGGCTAGATTGTTGCACCCCTGCACTCTCCTCAGGATTGGGCTAAGGCACCTGGATGAGCGAAAAACAGCTTTTTTACGCTCTGGTGGGAAATGCTTAAGATTTAAGGAAATCAGTTCTGGGCTCTGAAGGGGGAATGGGAGGTGTGTGCGTTGCTTCTGGGAGGAACAGGTTGCCCACAACTTGCAGGGAAATGCAGAGTCACCTTCAGGATAATGAGTGGGCCACAAGCAAAGCTGGTAGGATCAATTCAGTCCATATGGATTGCCCACAAGCTGCACCACTGGCCCTTCAGTCCCTCAGTGTCCTTCCATTTGATTCCTTCAGGACATCCCTCTCTTGACTTCTCTTCCCATTTATCACTCCACTGTCAGTGTGGTCAGCCATGGCTCTGTCCCAGCAAGCCATGCCTCCAAAAGGGCATCCGTGGAGAACTGTCAAAATGGCAGCCAGAACAATGCAATTGAACCCCTGCCATTTATTTACGCAGATCACATACAGTGCACGTCAAAAAAAAGGGGGGGGAACATGAGTTTATCCCCTTTGACACCCCTTGCAAATGTCCCTGAACCCTCAAGCCTTTGTCCCCAAGAGTTTTGCTGTTTGAAAACTGCCAGCCAGGCAAGAAGGATGGGTCAAGCAGGGAATTGCAGGACCGCCTTCTGCCGCCGATAGCCTCCCACTGACCAGTACGCACCCACAGAGAGGGACTCCTCAGGGTGCCATCAGCCAGGTAATGTCGGCTGGCGACCCCCAAGGGGAGGGCCTTCTCTGTGGCAGCTCCTGCCCTCTGGAACAATTTGCCCCCGGAGATACGAAGTATATCGGATCTCCGGGTCTTTCGCTGTGCCCTGAAAACTTTTCTTTTCCATCAAGCAGGGCTGGCGTGAACCCCCTCCCCCCTTTTTAGTCTTTTTAGTTTTTTAGTTTTAAATTGTCATGGGGTTTTAATTGAATTGTTTTAAATTGGGCCAGTTATGTAATTCTTTTAATAATTTTAAATTTTGTATTGGCATGTGTTTTAGTTCTGGCTGTTCACCGCCCTGAGTCCACTAGGAGAAGGGCGGTATACAAATTTAAATAAATAAATAAATAAATAAATAAATAAATAATAAATAAATAAATAAATAAATAAATAAATAAATAAATAAATAAATAGGCTTTGAGTTGTTGCACAGCTGCAAGAGACTTAGGTTGACTCCCTCTAAATTCTATGGGACTATCTGTTTGTTCCCCAGAGAAGGCAAACAATCTAGGGAGATTCCTGTATTACAGCCAGAATAAAATAGTCTGCTTGAATCCTACACATACTGATTTGGTTGCTTGCACTTTGCATTTGTTTTGCCAAGACTAGGGGAAGCAGCTCAGGTGGTCATCATTTGCCGACAGCTTACCAACATCTCACCTGAGCACCTTCCGTGACTTCTCCATTGCTCTTTAGTGGCAGAGGAAGAAATCCACAGTCGGACTCCCCCTCCTGTAGCATCAGAGACCTGTCGCTTCATTAAGCTAGCATTTTGCACCCAAATCCAACATTATTCCACAAACCCTGATTTAGTATATCATGTTTCTCTGAAAATAAGACCCTGTCTTATATTTTTTTTGAACCCCAAAATAAGTGCTTGGTCTTATTTTCAGGGATGTCTTATTATTTTGGGGCACATGGAGCAAGATGGGGCTCCTCTTGCCGTCTTACCTGATTTCCAGCTCTGTCTCCCTAACCCTAGCCAGAGGAAATGGCTGCGCATGCATTTAAATATTTTCGGGGAGGGCTTATTTTCAAGGGGGGGTTATTTTAGCGTATGTGCTCAAAAGCCCAATTGGGCTTATTATCAGGGGATGTCTTATTTTCGGGGAAACAGGGTATGTATGCGTTAGAAAAAGAGAAGGAAGAAATGAAGCTAACTTTTAAATGCCAAGAACAATATGGGAATTGGGACTGTCTTAGGGTACACACTCCTTTGAGTTTAATTGGCTCTGATCCATTTGCAGGAGCAGGGAAATTGGGGCCAAAGAAGGGAGCCTAGAATTGCAAGAAATGTAGGGATCCAGATGGGTTATTTTCCTTGACTTTAATATGAATTAAAATGAGAGAAGATTTTTAATCCCTTTCTCTCCTGAAAAAGGAGAGGTTGCTTTCAACGATCTTTGTAGCAGATGAAATGCCAGTATAAGGGAATATGCATTTGCCTTTTTGAAAAAAAGGCAGCTTATGGCACATAAATGCTTGACGTCACCTTAGATCCTGTTGGCACAAAAGGTCATTTTCATTTTGTGCAGAAAACTTTAAAAGTGTGTAAACTCAACCTCTTCACTTGGATGAGACATCACAGATCAGCATCTAAAAGTTCAGTTCCCTAACTTGAGCAAGATTGAAAAATGTGAGTCCTATGTGAGTCACTTGATGACAAGATTCACACATGCTAAACCCCAAATCTGTGCTAATGAGCCATGGTTGATGAGTTCCCATAACACTATGCCTCCACAAACCATATTGTAGTTTACCCTTGGTGGCCTGGTAAGCACAGGTTGCTGGGGTCAAAGAAAGACGAATCCTGGCATGGCAAGATATGTGAGGATCGAGATGAGCTCGAAGAAATGAGTTTGTGCAAGATCACTAAGCTAAAACAAGGCATACTACCTCAAGGTTTAGCAAAATGAGTTTCTGCTAGTCTTTCTTCTAAGAATGTATTTGGCAGCAATAAAGGAGAATATTTGTAGCTCACGGTTAATTATGGGGTCCTTGGTGGTCTCTGGGCTTGGTTGTTTTCTTGCAGATATTTCATTATCCAAACTAGATAACATCATCAGGGCTCTGCAGTGCTCTAGTTTGGGTAATGAAACATCTTCAAGAATAGAATAGAATAGAATAGAATAGAATAGAATAGAATAGAATAGAATAGAATAGAATAGAATAGAATAGAATAGAATAATAGAGTTGGAAGGGACCTTGGAGGTCTTCTAGTCCAACCCCCTGCTTAGGTAGGAAACCCTACCCCACTTCAGACAAATGGTTATCCAATCTCTTCTTAAAAACTTCCAGTGTTGGGGCATTCAAAACTTCTGGAGGCAAGTTGTTCCACTGATTAATTGTTCTAACTGTCAGGAAATTTCTCCTTAGTTCTAAATTGCTTCTCTCCTTGATCAGTTTCCATCCGTTGCTTCTTGTCCTACCCTCAGGTGCTTTGGAGAATAGCTTGACTCCCTCTTCTTTGTGGCAGCCCCTGAGATATTGGAACACTGCTATCATGTCACCCCCTAGTCCTTCTTTTCATTAAACTAGACATACCCAGTTCCTGCAACCGTTCTTCATATGTTTTAGCCTCCAGTCCCCTAGAACACATAGGACCCTTCACTTAATTTGACGTTTCCTTGTCTAACTGGCTGCACATCTTTGCAATTTAAGAACAGCTACTCTGGAATATCAAAAGAACCTAAACCGTCTTTTTATTTGCAGGTATCCAAAGCTGCGGCAGACCTGATGGCGTACTGTGAAGCCCATGCCAAGGAAGACCCCTTATTAACTCCTGTCCCTGCTTCAGAAAATCCATTTAGAGAGAAGAAGTTCTTCTGTGCCATTCTGTAAATCTCACAGGAGCCTGACTCCAATTTGGGCTGCCCTGGACACTGATGTAGAGATTTTTCAGCAACGTGGACCAGTTTCTAGAGTCCACTTACTTTAAGAAAAATATATCAAACCACCTGGAAGTTTACAGAGAAGTGCATGATTTAAAAAAAAAAAAAAAAGCGAATTCCTGCCTTCTTTGGAGAACGAGTTAATAACGATGTTGACCTACATCAAGAGGCTAAAGATCTTGACATCTGCAGAGTTGCCTTGAGGAGGAGGAGGGAGGGGAGGGGGGAAATGTGTAAAAGTGTACATTTAATTTTCACTTTTGCTCTGGCCAAGCCAAACTCTGTTGGCTTTCTCTGAAACAAAAATGAGGGTGCGCAGAGCAAGGTTGCGAATGACGCAATGGGGTATGTGTATGTAACCTCAATTATTTTGTTTTGCTTTTCCCAAATGTCACTCTTATTTATGTTGAAATGTAAAATAATTGCAATGGATTCAATTTATTCTAGCGTTCCTTAGTGTGGAGTGTTGTGCGTATTTAGCATTTTAGAGTAGTGCCACACGAGGGAGGGAGGGGGGTGGGTGGGTGGGGGGCAGGGATCCAATCGCAGTAGCCTATCCGTCTAAACATTTTATCAAAGGTTTAGTTGAGAGCGTCGCCTTGCTTTTCACAGGCCTACAGGGCTGTCTTGTGCATTCCTAGCATACTTAGTATTGCTGTTTTCTAACATTTGTATTTGGTAGCTTTTGTTCTGCTAGTAAAATGTATGTTGTATTGGATTTTGCGGGGTTTTCTTTTTTTTTTTTTTCAGATTTTTGTATCCCACCTTTATTATTTTTACAAATCGCTCAAGGCAGTGAACACACCTGATACTCCTTCCACTCCTCCTATTTTCCCAAAACAATAACAGCCCCTGGTGAGGTGAGTTGGGCTGAGAGAGAGTAACTGGCCCAAAGCAGAGATGAAATCCAGCAGGTTCTGACAGGTTCCGGAGAACCGGTAGCGGAAATTTTGAGAAGTTCGGAGAACCGGCAAATACCACCTCTGGCTGGTCCCAGAGAGGGGTGGGAATGGAAATTTTGCAATATCCTTCCCCCAGGAGTGGGGAGGGAATGGGGATTTTGCAGTATCCTTCCCCTGGACTGGGATGGGAATGGAGATTTTGCAGCATCCTTCCCATCCCACCAAGCCATGCCACACCCACCAAGCCACGCCCACAGAACCGGTAGTAAAAAAATTTGAATTTCACCACTGGCCCAAAGTCACCTAGATGGCTTTCATGCCTAAGACAGAACTAGAACTCACATTCTCTCGGTTTCTAGCCTGGTGCCTTAACCACTAGATCAAACTGTTCTCTTCACCTTATTTTCCAGTGTCTTCAGCTATTAATCGAGAGTTAGCAAATTTCAACCTTAACAGATTTGCTTTGGTGGTAAACCATAAATCATGGTTTATTGTACAGAACACAACCAATATGTGTTTTAATACAAAGCTTAAATAATCGCTGAGGGAAATGCAGAAATGCAGTTACTGTCTGAGTACACATGCTATAATTGCCTGTAGTTAACTGGTTTATTCAGTTAATGTTCTGAGTTAACCTGAGATAATAAAGTATACTGATGTAAAACTAACAACATGGATTGGTTCACACAGTATACTAAGCTTAAAAAAAGGGTTGTAATTCAGTTTGTTCTGTGAAAGCATGCTTGCCTCAGCATTGGAATACAGGAATTGAAGAATGAAATAATAAGAGAAAATTGACAGCAGAATCAATTATCCAGACACATGGAAGCTAAACTGCCATCTATTGGGGATGCTTTAAGTTCGATTTCTGCATTCATTAAGAGATGGGTCTCAATTTGCCCTTTCTATTGTATGATTTTTTGTAAGCAAGAATATACAGTAGACATATGTCTTCAGTTTTCCATATGCTACTCAATTGCAGCTGCTAAAAGTTCCAGCTAACATGGCTAAAGATGAGCAACACTCAAGAATTGGGGTTCAAATCTCTGCGTTAAAGCAGTGTATCTCAGCCTGAGTAACTTTTAAGATGTGTGGACTTCAATTCCCAGAATTTCTCAACCAGTATGCTGACTGGGGAATTCTGGGGGTACATCGTTGCTGAGGCTGTGAAACTCTGCTTTAAGATCTCCTTATAGTCGGAAGTAGGGGGTGTGGTGGATCAGTGGCTAAGATGCTGAGCTTGTCGATCGAAAGTTGGGCAGTTCAGTGGTTCGAATCCCTAGTGCCGTGTAATGGGGTGAGCTCCCGTTACTGTCCCAGCTTCTGCCAACCTAGCAGTTCGAAAGCACCTAAAAAATGCAAGTAGAAAAATAGGGACCAGCTTTGGTGGGAAGGTAACAGCGTTCGTGCGCCTTTGGTGTTTAGTCATGCCGGCCACATGACCACGGAGACGTCTTCGGACAGCGCTGGCTCTTTGGCTTTGAAATGGAGATGAGCACCGCCTGCTAGAGTCGGGAACGACTAGCACATATGTGCGAGGGGAACCTTTACCTTTACCTTATAGTCGGAAATATTTGGCCAAATGTGTTGACAGGATGTCTTCACATAAAACAGCATTTCCTGTCTGTACCAGGTACGTAATTGGTTATGATCCACTTGGTTGCCCATCATACTGGAATTAGAAAGTCAGTGAGAACTACAGACCAATACTTCTAAAAGCTGAATAAGTAATTCCTTCTTGCTCATCAAGGAAATCTTGGCAGTTTATGTGGCCTCAGACTCCATTACTTAATTTTTGGTGTTTTTTTCTGTGCTGAAGGGACAGTAAACGTGTGCTGGAGATACAAGAAGCAAGGAAGTTCTGATATATTTAATTAATGGTATATTTCATTTGGAAGCTCTTAAAAAGCAATGGGTAGCAAAATAACACACTCTTCCTATCAAACTAGGAGCTGATTGCTTTGCTTTCCCGCAGGGCTTTTCTCCTTGCAGGAAGACAGGGCACTGATTTAGTGAGGAGATCATTGACCTCTCAGTGGGGCTGGTTTTCCCAGAGGAGAAGCTGTAACCTAATTCTCTGCTCTTTCTTGCATTATTGTGCAAACGATGACTGCTGGTTAGCCAAATGGGATTTAATCTGGTTTTGTCCTTGGTCTTCTGTAAAATCCATACCTTGCCTTGTGAGGAAAAATGCAAAATTAACACATGTTTTCATGCCTTGATTAGCGAGCTACACCTCAGTTTAATTCTGTGCATTAAACAGCACTTACTAACATGATACAACCTCCTCAGGTAACACACACTTAATGTTTTATTACAATAGGAATTTAAATAACAAATCCAGAAATAATCATATACATACACATACATAGACCAGGATTTTCTTCTTTTGCAATAAGCAACAGTATATAAAATGCAAAATAAATATCCAAAAATGCAGGTTAATCAACAATCACAGAAAAATGTCCCAATAGCACTTACTTATATACTGCTTCATAATGCTTTACAACACTAAGAGGTTTACAGAATGAGCATATTGCCCCAACAATCTGGGTCCTCATTTTACCAACCATTTTACCGGAAGGATAAAAGGCTGAGTCAACCTTGAGACAGTCAGAATCGAAGTCCTGGTAGTGGGCAGTCAATCTGCCATACTGCATTCTAACCACTGGGCCACCAATCAGAAAACTACCTAGAGTCCTAGACCAAGTGGCAGAGAAAAGGTGATGTTAACCAAACCTCTCATTCCATTTCAGACCTTAAAAGTATCATAAAGGTTAGGATTCTGTGCTAGCTGTTTCTTGGCCATGATTTGTTACATGAGCCAACTGTTTGAATTTACATAAGCCATAAACCGTGGTTTTCAAATTATAACATTAGGATTCATATAATAAGACAAAACCAAACAAGTTACATTATTTTTATGTTTGTGTTGTGCGAATTCAGTCTATCACTCCAATTAGAATGATCACACGCTATGCCAAGTTCAAATGTGACTGACCAGTTCATGTGTATTCACACAACAAGCTTAGCCAGATCAGGTAACTAGCAATTTCATTTGCAAATATAGCAAGTTTTATTAATGTCGACCTTGGTTAGTTGTTTTCTTTTTGTGGCATTGCAGGTTGTGCTCAGCCAGCCCATTTGGCTAGCTTATTTGAATTCCTAAAACTTGATTGATTGGATAACCAGGCTAATGTGTAAGTGCAACCAATATTTGCAGAAAATCAGTATATTTAATGGTCTAATGCAGAACTGTCAAACTCACAGCCTGCAGGCTGGATGCGTCACGTGCTGGCCATGCCCATGCCCGGTTTAGCGGAGGGGAAAGAGGCAATACGTCATGTGACACCATGGTGACGAGGCGAATTTGACACCCCAGATGTAATGTGTTGTGTTAATCCATTTAAATGAGTAAACTCAGATCAAATAAACCATGGGGTGGTATATTACAGGAACAGAGTCTTCTAGAACCAAACTAGGTCTTGTCTTTAGGCCTGGAAACTTTTCTCGAAACTTATGCGTTACTTTGAATAACCTTCCCAAACCATCCCAGATGTGATGTATTGCCCTAAGGTAGTACTAGAGTCCAGTTAAGTACTAAAGTTCTTGCCATAGTGTAACAACTTGCACAGTTAGCTATAATAGTAAGTTATAGTAGGAAACAGCTGGCAAGTTGAGAAAAAGCCCTCTGGAATATCATTCAGACGGGGAGGGAAGAAGAGGCAGATGCTGTCTGTCAATATTTCATGGCGTCTTATATGCCATATTTGTTCCTGTAGAAGTCAATGTTTTGTTACTTTCAGCTACTTGGAGAGAAATTCTGATGGAAAAGCTACTTGTTAAAAGAAAGAAAATCAAGAGCCTAATTGTAGGCTATCAGATATACTTACTCAAATTAGTCAGCCCAGTGAAAAAGAAGTTGAAAAGAATCTCCCATTCAGACAACCCACAGGTACACTGCAGGGTGTGTGGAGGGGGCTATGCAATGTCTTGGACCTTCTTGGGATCTCCTTCTCCCCACCCCCACCCCCAATCTGTTTTCAAAATGATGGATTATGTTGTATATGTTTTCAAGTTTTTCCTACAAACTAGCCAACTGTTAATGTGGATATTTACTTGAAGGCAGACTTAAATTCCCGCCTGAAACCCTAAATCCAGAGTAGGCAACTTGGCGTTTCTGACTGTACTTCTTACCATCCCTTATCAAGTTGGCCAGCTGATAAGAGGAGCTGAAATCCAATTATTTGGAGAATGCCTGCTCACTTGCCCCTGTTCTGGAAACCACATTCTGGAAACCAAAAGCTGTACTTAGACTGCATGCCTCAGCCAATACTGCTTCTGTCTACAAAAACGGGGAAAATCTAGTCATACCATCATAGGCCCTGGATAAATCACTCTGTATCTGACTGATCTAAGCACATGTGGTCAGCAGCTTTCTTCTGATCATATACAAGATCTTCAAGGAAGATGGTTGCTGTGCACTTCATAGATAAATTAATGCCTTGCTGTGATAGTACTACTTTGCAT